GGTGTGAGGAAAAAGGAATCCCAGGAAGTAATTCCATGCACACCAGGAAGTCCTAAGCTAGATTTATTCTGTGGAAAGAAAATAAAACAGAGTCTCAGCACAGGAACAATCCAAGTGACGCTTACATCCTTCCCACCAAGAGGAGCCTCCTGCCACCACGCCCTTAAGTCCCTTGGGATAAGTAGAGAAAGACCGTGATACTGGGATAGGCGAAAAGGTGCTGGTCTTTGGCCTAGGAATCAAGAACAAATCCAGGCTTTTCCCTGACTCTGGCTTCGGTCTTCCCTCTGGTAAATTAGGACACTAGGCCGAGAACCCCGCAAAGGCCTCTACATCTGTGCATCATCCTAGGGGGTCCTGTGGTTTCAGATGACCCAGCCAGCTGAGGCCATCGCCATAGCAATACTATGTCAATGCATGTAGCAGCTCTAGTCTTTTTTTTTAAGCAATAAAACATAGTCATTTTTATTTACAATTTATGTTCCAGATAGTATGCTCAGAATTGTATTTCTATTGACAAACATTACTATCTCAGTTAAGTTTTGCAAAGCTTTATATTAGATATCACCACCATCATCACTTTATAGATGAGAGTCAGGGAGGTTAAGTCACTTGCCTTGCTCTTACAGCAGGTAAGTGGTAGAGTCAGATTTGTCTGACCACCAGGCGCTTACTGTATGCCACAGAGCTGGACAACCAACCAATTAAGTTTTTTTTTTTTAAATTGTGGCAAAATACACATAACAAAATTTACCATCTTAATCATTTTTTAACTTTACAATTGCAGTTTACTTTTAATATTATTTTCTATTGGTTTCAGAGCACCTCCAGTCTTAAAAAGCACTTTTACATTTAGTATTTCAGTGGGCATAATTGCATCCATTTTACAGATGGGGAAACTGAGGCTTTGAAAGATGCAATCAGTTGTTCATAGTCACCCAGTCAGTCAGAGGCAGAGGTGATATTGAAAGAGAGAACTCTTGCCCCTTTTCATGGCTCCTTCCTCCTGGCTTACTCCAATAATCCTTCCCTTCCAGGACCCAGCAAGACCAGTCACAGGTGACCCTGGGGGCTTCCTGATTAGAACTGGGGGTAAATGGTGCTGAGGCAGAAGATCTGCTTGTGGGAGGAGGTACAGGCAGATGCCAAGCATCCTCCTTTGCATGGAAGGGCACCGAGTGGTTGAGGCTGTATGAGGATGCGGGGAGGTGTGGAACTCTCCAGTTCCTCTCCTTACCTCACACTGGCTTGACACATAAATTCCCACACATCCCCTTGCAGCACTTGAGACTCTTCGGGCAGTGGCTGTCATTCCGGCATTTGTCTGGGGGGTTGAGCATCATACACTGGCCAGTGACCACTGGACACTTCCCAGGATTGACTTGAACTGGCGAGAAGAATGTTACAACTCAGAGGCTTGATCTCCCTAGGCACCATGCAAGCTCCCATCCCCATCTCTATCTCATGCATGGAAATCAGGTCCTCACCCACCTCAGCACCCAAACAGAGGCCAGCGCATGACTTGAAGGAGACTCCTTCCCACTGAGGGAGCCCCAACTAGCATTGTAAGTGTCAGACAGACACACGGACTCATTGACTGACTCACTAGCAATCAATGAGTTGACTGATGGACTGGTTGCCTGGCCAGCTGGCTACTCACCACCCGAGAGCACAGAGATGGGGGTGAATCAGCCCTGACTCTGCCACGCCCCCCACCCCTTCAGAGGCGCCCCCTCCACTTCTCCACGATGTATGTCCTCAAACTCAAACCTCACTGGTCCCCTTTCCCAGGACCCTGCTTTCTCACCTGGCTTTGATGGGTCTTCAGGGTCCAAGCATTTGATGCCACAAAGGCCAGGACAGCATTTCTGCTTCTTTGGACACTGCCAGTCACTGTGGCATTGAGGAGGTTCATGCACAAGACAGTTTACTGGGGGTATGAAGGGGCAGGCTCCATTTTTGCTTGCTTTTTCTGAAGGGTAAGAATAAAAGAGGGAGAAGGAGCTGATTCTAAGTCATGACCACAATCCTGAACAAGGAATCAACTTCCCAGGAGGGGAGGGAAAACCTAACCCAGGTGGCTGGCCCCAGATGAATGCAGGGAGCAGTTAGGATTCCAGTTTTAAGGCAGCTGTGGGGCAGCATGAAGCTCAGCCAAGCACTCAACCAAGAGGGAGTCAATAACCCAGGAAAGAAGAAACAGATGCAGGTGTGTTGGTAAATGTTGTAAGAGGTTGCCTTTGTAGCATTTGCCAATTTCCATGGTGTAAATACTCCCATCATGATTGATTTCAAACTAATAGTATGATGTCCACTAGCTCATAAAAGTCCTGAAAACTTACCCATTGGCCATTGCAAGCCAGTATAAGCCAGCTCCAGGGCACGGCTGCATAGAGCCCATTAGGTGTTTCCAGGGAGAGGGAGAGATACACCCTGGCTGGGAGGGAGGAAGCGAGGGGCAGTGAAAGCAGGAGGGACAACTCCTCAGAGACTGGAAGAAAGAGAGCAGATCAACTGATAAAGAGAGAAAGAGAAAGTGACCGTCAAAAAAGTGATGAGGAAAATCTGGAAAATTAAACAGGAGCTCAAAATGATGTGACCGTGAAAAAGAGCAAACAGTAGAAAACCTTGGGGATGAGGGGAGGAGGGGGAAGAGGGGAGAGCTTCTTAGAAACCTGGAACAATCATCAAGGTGTGGAAAGGCCAGCAGCCGCAGTATCAGAGAAAGTGTAGCAAAAAGCGTTGCTCCTCCACTCAGACGCACATATACACCTTTCATGGGACCCAAACTCAGAAACTATGACTCATAATGCCCCACGGCCCAAGGTCAGGTTTTGGAAACTGACCAACAGGGAATCTGAGTGTCAGTAGACCCTGAGAGAGAAGGACGAGACAGAAATGCAGGAATCGATCAAAACTATATGGGAAACAGCAGCCCCATCCTTTTTTACAAACCCTCAAGGATCTTCCCAGAAGGCGGAGCACAGAGCGACCGGGCAGTCATAGATTCTCATGGACAATTGTTTCAGGTAGATATCACTTTATTTCTTTGTGTTGCTTTCATAGTAATAAGCATTGAACTCTGATAAAGGAAGTCTGGGGGGTGAGGAGCACATGGAAGAATTGGAGACCAGTTATCCAAGTCGGAGCCTGTTCTACCAGTGTCTTCTCAGGCCCCGGTAGGAAGGGATTTCTACCTGGGAAGAGAAGGCAGGATCAGAGACATGGGGCGGTGCAAACTGTGCAGGGGGCGTTGGCTGGGTCTGAATCCTGCCAAGTACCTTCCTCCCAGGAGTGCAAAGAGCCAGGGCCTGGGGATGAGGAAGGCCAGGCCAGCCCTCCTAAGGAATGATAGCATCTTGTCCTTTACTTCACAATTTAAATGTGAAGAGGAACGTGATTCATTATAACAAAGTAAAAGAACAAAACAAGAGCAATTGGAACTGGCCCTCATAAACATCCAGGAACGGTTGAGGAGCTTAGAGATAAATGTCCCCGTCACTCACTGAACAGTGACGCCCACTACACGGAAGTGAACTGTGCATTTGGTGAGGAGCGAGGTCTCTTGATTGTCCTCAAGGCAAATTGTTCAGGGCAGATCCCGGTTTCAAAGCTCTGATCTGTGCCTTGCAAGGGCGCTGGCGGCTCTCAGCTCCCTCTGGGGCACCTGGTTCTCTGGGAAGGTTTCTGGGGCAAAGGCAAGAAAGGCAGCCGGGAGACTTCTTACCTCAATCCAGACTCTGCCACGGCACCATACACTGATATCTACAGTTGTAGAAACAACACTTCTTGTCCTTCTTGCAGTTTCTATCGCGCCGGCACAGCGGTATCATCGTGAAGGGACAGCGGAGTGGGAACTCTGGACAGTATCCAGGTCTGACCACATCTGAGGAACGAAGCCACAGGGTGAGTTGGGGGCACCTGTGAGTCCTTGCTGGGCATCAGTCCCAGCTTGTCCCATGGACTCGTCCTCTGAGGACGTTCCCCACCCCGAGCACACACAGGACCGCCTCACCCTACACCCACCCATCGCCCTCCATTCAGGCTGCGCCAAGTGGAGGCAGAGGAGGAGGAAAATCCCGGTGAGAACAGAGAGGCTGCTCTGTCTCATCTTGCAGAAGTGTGCAGCGAACCTTGGGACTGAACGTTTATATCGCCTATGGCAGGAGCCCGCCGGCAGGGGGAGCTGTAGTGCCCATGACCCTAGGTCATAAGTGCCTTAACTTGACCTTTCTTTATATCAGGGGTTCCTTTCATGGCCCCCCAGGAAGAGGCGCTGTAATAAGTTCTGGGGCATACGCCTGAGAGCCCATAGAGCTTCCTCTTTTTCAGGGAGTGTTAGTGCTGGCCCGGCCCTTCATAATTCCTGCTTTATGCAGTGGAGTATGAGGCAACGGGAGAGAGTTATCTTTCCAGGACGTTCCTCAGGTCTCACATACTTCACTCCTCACTAAACCATACCTGTCCCAACAGACTTAAGAAATGGGTACATTTGAAGAATTTACTTTGAATAAATGAACACTTGAAACACACACAGGCACCATGACAAGGCAAGATAAGGAGCTATTACTAGGATAATTTTCAAATTATGGAGAATTGTAGATCATTTAACCAAGTCTGGGAATATATTGTGAACTGACTGCACAGACACACGTTTAAGTTGTGTGATGAATATTTTCTACCTTAACCCCTGTCTTTAGTTCTCCATGAGTTTGTATAGACTTCTTTTGTTTTGGGTTTTTTTTTTAATTATATATTTTTTTTAATTTCAGAGAGGAGGAGGAGGAGGAGGAGGAGGAGGAGAGAGAGAGAGAGAGAAAGAGAGAGAGAGAGAGAGAGAGAGAATCATTGATTGGCTGACTCCTGCACGCCACACTAGGGATTGAGTCCACAACTCAGGCAGGTACCCTGACCAGGAATCAAACCGTGACCTCCTAGTTCATAGGTCGACGCTCAATCACTGAGCCACACTGGCCAGGGTTGTTTTTAATTTTATAGAAATAGTTACTTTATTTTTTTAAAATTTACCTTTATTGTTGAAAGTATTACAGTTGTCCCCCCCTCATTAACCTCCTCCCCCTGTATCCCCCACAAGGCCTTCACTACACTATTGTCTAGGTCCATGGGTTATGCATATATGCATATAAATTCTTTGGTTAATCTTCCCCCTCCCCTTTTGTTTTTAAGGTTAAAAGTCTAATGAGGTCATTTTGGAATGTGAACTGTAGGCCAAATAACCCTTTAGTCCTCTCTGTGCTCCTGTAAAACTGTGTGTTGCTTCTGCTTGCTTGTTGGCAAAGGACCTACCTATCTTAAGTCATGGTAAGAACCATATTGATGAATGCACACCGGACCATTGGTACCAGGTGTGGGAGGCAGAGAGAGGCTGACGAAAAAGATGGCTCTCTGGAACAGCAACTCTACCCACTAACTATTAACTACTCTCTCTCTTTCTTTCTCTCTTTCTTTTTTTCTTTCTTTCATTTTAATCAAAGTATAGTTGACATACAATATTATATTAGTGTTAGGTGTACAACAAAGTCATTTGACTTTTATATATATTATGAAGGAATCACCATGATAAGTTTAGTATGCACCTGTCACTGTACAAAATTATTGCAATATTATTGACTATATTCTCTATGTTGTGAATTATTTATTTTATAACTGGAAGTTTGTACCTCTTATTCCCTTTCACCTTTTCACCCATCCCCTCATCCTCTGGTAACCATTAACTTGTTCTCTGTCTCTATGAATCTGTTTCTGTTTTGTTTAGTTTAGATTTCACAGATTTCATTATTTTTCATGGCTAAATAATATATACATACATATATATCTCACATCTTCTTTATCCATTCATCTATTGATGGACGCCTAGGTTGCTCCCATATTTTGGCTATTATAAATAATGCTTCAATGAACATAGGGGTTCATATATCTTTTTGAATTAGTGTTTTTGTTTTCTTTGGATAAATACCCAGAAATAGAACTGCTGGATCATTTGGTTATTCTAATTTTAATTTTTTGAGGAGCCTCTATACTGTTCTCTGTAGTGGCTGCACCAATTTACAATCCCACCAGCAGTGTACAAGGGCTCCTTTTTGCCACATCTTGGCCAACACGTGTTGTTTGTTATTTTTTTGATGATAGCCATTTTGACAGATGTGAGGTTCCTCTTCTTTCTAGTGCAGTCTTATAGTTACCTCCTGCTGTTTTTTCACTGTGCACCTACATTGCTCTCTTCCAGCTCTAGTTTCTAGTTTAGCCTGTCTTCTGTGCGTTTTCATCCAAATTTAGGGAAAAAAACACTTTCGAATTTTTTTAACAGTCCAATAACTTACAGCGTCTGCACTTTGTTTTCTACCTGGAATCAAACTGTGAGCTCCTGGTTCATAGGTTGTTGCTTAACCATTGAGCCACACCAACCAGACAGCATCTGCACTTCTATTCTCAAGTTGTCTGTTTGCAGTCCCACAACCCACATGTGACCATTCTGTTTTCAAAGAAGTTTGATATTGCAACTTCAATACCAAACATGACAACGATATTGCATGCAAGGAAAACTATGTGCCAATCTTGCTAGAAAAATGAGGCAAAAATTCTAAACAAAATATTAGCTAATTAATATTGTCATATGTGAAAATGGTGATACATCATTAACAAGTGGTGAGTTATTTCAACAATGTAGAGTTGGTTTAACAATCAAAAGTAAGTCAAGGGACTAGTCTCTATTAATAGGTAAAGGGAAAAATCATATGATCATTTCCATATCAATAGTAAAATATGTGAAAAATCACTTAATCATTTAATAGATTAATCAGTCAATCTGTAGCTACACTAATAAAAGAAAATATGCAAATTGACTATACCTTCGTGACACCCACCAGCCAATCAGGAGTGAGTATGCAAATTAACCTAATAGGTGCCAAGCGGCCAGGGGTGGGGTGGGACACTTGCGTCGTCGCCATGGTGATGATGCAGATGTTCCACACCACCCCAGCCACTCTGGGCCTCTGGGCAGCGTGGGAAGGTGGAAAGGCAGCTCTGGCTGGAGCGAAGGTGGTGCCGGCAGCCAGGTGAAGAAAGGCCCATTCCTGCACAAATCTTTGTGCATTGGGCCTCTAGTGTATAAATATAAAAGGCTAATATGCTACGTGTCCCTCCAACCAGTCACTATGGTGTGCACTGACCCCCCGGGGGCAGACGCTCAACACAGGAACTTTAATGAGGCGCCCTGGCCATTTACAGAGAAATGGTGCTGCAGAACTGGTGCCCACAAAGCAACACTTGGCTTCCCCCAAGTGGGACACAGGCCCTGCCACCACCCCGGAGCGACAGCTCACCAAATCACAGCTGATGCTGCTGAGACCCCATGACGCAAAATGCTGCCCACAGCCCAGCCCAGCCTGGAAATGGTGACTGTGGGCACCAGGTAATGACATCACGTAGAATGCCTGGCTTCCTCTCCCTAGCAACTAGCCTCCTTGCAGTTTCTTTAGCCCAGGAACACAGCTTGCTAGCCAGGTGCAAACATTTTACACTGTAACCAAATATCTATGAAGTGTTTTCCCATGCCTCATCTCATTTGATCCTCACAAAAGTCTTGGAGTAGGTACATAGGAGACTTCATGGACTCCTATTTTCTTTTCATTAGCTGGAAAATGGAGATTTAGAAAGCTTAGAAACTTGACCTGACTGAAAAGAAGTAAGAAACGGTGGACCTTTAAAATGACTTCAGGTTTTCTCACTGCACAGAATATAGTCAAACACTGCTGCATTTAAATATTTTACCCTTTGTTCTCCCTGTGTGATCTACAATAATAATTTGCTTTGTGTTGATATTTACTGCCGTGTTGCTGACAATTACCTGAAAGAGAAGTTGAGGTGCTTCACTGGGCTGGAAACAGTTTAGCTAAATCAGAAAGCAGGTCTAATTAAGTAAGTTTATTCTATATCTATAAAAGGCTAAGTTGACTCACACATGCGCAATACATATAAACCTTTCCCTGACGCCAATCTCAGGTGTGTGTTTTGATTTGTCATTGTCGATTATGATTTTGGTTGACACTTCTATTATAGAGAAAGGGCGACTAGAGATACTAAAATATTTTTTCTAATTAATTTCCTTTCAATGTGCACGCATTGGTGCACCAGGCCACTAGTCTACTAATGATAGTAGAATATAATGATACAGGATTAGAAGTTTACTTTAATATGATAGCAGGCCTCTATAAAAAAAACCCTACTACAGAGGTAAGCATTTTCAGAAAGCAGTTAGAACACTAACAAATATTGTCAAAATCAACCTTTTCAGAAGTTGAGAACTTAACCAAAGGCTTGTAACAATCCATGGAGTGTTTATTTAATAAAAAAAAAAAAAGTGGAAAAAAACACACACCAAGAAAAACAGGCGAATATCAGAAGAAGAGAAAGCTTGATTCGCCCTATTCCCATTCCTTTTCTTCCTAGCTGTGTGGAAGCCAGCAGACTTGCACTATAGCCCATGAAAACCAGCAGCACAGCCACCACTGAAGGGGAGAATGGCTTTTATGCTGCTCCAAAGCTCCATCTCCAGAAAATTGTCAGTATTTGACCTCTCTGGTAGCTTCATGAAAAGCTCCATTCTCAGGGCATGTATTTATCTAGAGAGACATATAGATATAGAAATAGATATAGATATAGATATAGATTTAGATGGTGCAGCTCAGTTGGTTGGAGCATCATCCCATACACCAAAAGGTCTTGGGTTTGATTCCCAGTCAGGGAACATACCCAGGTTGTGGGTTTGATTCCCAATTGGGGTGGGTATGGGAGACAACCAATCAGTGTCTCTCTCTCTCTCTCTCATCAATTAAAAAAAAAAGTTTGGCATGTCACATTAAAAAAAAACATAAAAGGAGAAGAACCAAGATGGCGGCATAGGTTAAGGCCGGAGTTTGCTGCCTCGAACAACCACTTCAAAAGTAAAACTAAAAGACGGAATGGACATCACCCAGACCCACAGGAACGCTGGCTGAGTGGAAGTCCTACAACTAGGAGGAAAGAGTAACGCATACGGACACTCAGAGGAGGCACAGTGCTGAAGTCAAATTCTGAGGTGCGGAGTGCACGGAGCGGGCTGGCGGCGGAGGGCACGGTTGGCGTTTTCAATCGGGGGGGAGGCTCAGGCTCTCAGCTCCAGTTCTGGGCAAGTCTCTAGGGACCCAGACTCAAACGGGAGTAGCAGGACTGTCTGGCATCGGTCGGAACTCGAGGGCAGCTTTCTCTCGGAGGCACTCACAGAGATTGCGGGGGCCTCTGAGGACAGGACTGAGAGCAGCCATACTGCTCGCTGTCCCCCCCCCCCATTGATCCCC